CAAGAAATAGATGAGAATACTGTCTGAAAATCCGCTTGGGGTCATTTTTCACTTCGTTCTTAATGTGTAGACGCAGGGGAGATGTTCCAATCTATATCTTCAATCAACTGAAGTGCCATGGAGATGGATTGCGTAGTCAAGGATACCATCTTAGCTGGGATTCTCTACCTCCGCTGTAATACCTCTCCAGCATCATTCATTTCTGCCTCTTTTCTTAAGGTGGCATGCTGTAGTTCTTAGCAGGGACAACATGAAGAGTAAATACTCCCTGTAAGGAAGCGAAGACACAGATCAGGGATACTGTGCGTGTCATTGTGTAGGTATTCATGCCAGTGTGGCGAAAAGCTCTTGGGAGGCCCAGCTGTAGTTTATTATTGAAATTTCTGTAAGATTACCCTCTTCAATAATTTGCAGCAGCATTTAATTATGCTCCCTTAGAGAAGCCTAAGCCTCCACTGTTTATTTGGCGGGACATGAATGTATAATGTAACTGGATCAGGAGGCGGGCCTTGGCTGCACCAGCATGCAGTGACGTGGCACACCCATGTCGGTCCTCCCCAAGCTCATCGCAAACGAGAGCTTTTCAATCCGTTCACTATACTCCACCATGAATGGCTTGGAAGTGTCTTCTAAGGGTTCCAGCCCAAAGCTGCTCAGGGAGATGTGGGCTGGTGATGACACTCTTAAAACCTGGAAATCCATGAGATAGTGGCATAAAAACACAGTGATGTAATCAAACCGAGATGGGGAGATTCTGCAGGCGAGTAATGGGCAAAATCAAACACACATTCAGCTTGAATGAGCACAGAAACCCGTCATCCTTGTCGATTAAAGGATTTCTTCCGCTATAGAGGAGCTCATCTGTGTCAGAACATCTGGTCCACCCTCAGCACACCCAAAACAAATCTGTCTTCAGTCTAGGTTCTTACAGACACTTATATTCCATCACAATTACTAGTTTGTGTTGCAAGCACAAGGTTCTGAAGCAGGCCATTCTGAGCTTCAGCCATTACCAGAGCTGGAAGCCTACTAAGATAGCTCATTGTATGCATGGGTTTCCAGTGCTGCAGCAGATGTCTTCCAGCAAGAGAATGACAGCTTCTGTCTAATTCATGAACACCCCACTTCCTAACCCAACCAAGCTCCTTAATCATTTTAAAGTAAAATACTGGTAAATTTTTTGTTAAAATTAGTCTTTCACATGCGCAAGTTCAGTAAAAATCCACAGCCAGCCATTAGCTGGCATCTCTGTCTCTCTTCTGTATGTCGATAGCACTGAATCCTAAGCCTCACATGCCTGACATTTCAGGCTCCATGATCGTGTGATGTCATTCTCTCAGTGGCTGTATTGCAAAACAAGAGATTAGCAGATCAGGGGATAAAAGGACTCTGATTGTGGTGGAGTTCCTGCCCTTCTATCATAGTTGTGCATTTTTCATCCCTCTCACACATTCCTTGTGACATCACAGCAATGCTTTCATTTTAATGGAATGTAGTGTTTGTTTCCCATTCTGTAACTGAAATATTTCTGCCATTCAAATCCTTTTTCGACGCCTTGTGTCATATTTCCATGTCTATGGTACTTATTTGAAGAAATTGCATGAATTTATGAGCCCGACACATCATTCACTTGTGGTTTTTATACCTGAATCTTTAGTAGAGTATAAAGTGAGCAAATACTTGTAAGTTATACTTGTATGGGAAGCCTTTATAGGCAAAAATAAATCTCTAAGCTCTTTGGGAACCTTAAACTAAAAATGGTCAATGCATCATCCATTTTACAACTGGTTACGCAGTATGGGCCAATGTGGTGAAGAAGTGCTGTATACACAATTCAGGTGAGATCTACAGTCTTGCCACAATTTCCTTAGATTTACAGATATATTGGCCAAGTATCTTTTCTTTTGCTTAATTACAGTGAAATGGTGTAAACCTAGAGGTTTTCGTGTTTCATATGTGCCGCTTGTATCAACTAATCTCCTACCATCAGCTTAGAAATGCTTAACACTTCGCCTGCAAGTAGGTCTTTAAAGTGAAGCTTCACATCATCAAACACTTCCCAGAAGCCTGAATAAATCATCCGTTTCATTTAAGGTCAGAAGCCTTACTTGCATGTCCAAAGAAATGCACCAAATGGGACGTCTCCCTTATGGTTTAGCATGTACTGCACCAGTTCGGATTTGTAGCTCCAATATCTCCACCCGTAACAGAAACCAGGCTAATTTGTCTGTACGTCATAATCTTTGTGAATTAGCGCAACATTTGCTTCTTTGCTATCTACGGAGTCCACCTTCAGCAGATAGCTAATGGTCCAGAAATGTGAAATATTTTGGAGAATATTGTTTAAGAGCAGATAAGATCTGTAGTCTTATGACTTTCAGATAAAACAGGCAGCTGACTAGTGTCCCCTGCAGTGAGCACCAGTGCAAAAACGTCCAGGAAATTGCTTTAAAATCTCATTATCATCTTCCAGTACCTAATCTGCTTCGTCTGACAGCCAAGCAAATTCTCATTATTGAATTCTCATTTACAATACTGAGAAAATGCTTTGCACATAAGACGGCCTTTTTGCCTTGTGATGGATGCACATGCCATGCAGGGTGTCCCTGGGCTTGTGCCCTGAGCTTTCTGGGACAGACTGCAAGCTCACCCAGACCCAGTACTGGGTAATTGGTTGGAAAAAGAATGATTGAATTTTCCACCTGTAGCTTGCAATACTGTATTGTAATGGACCTTTATTGCCTGTATGACTGTAAAGTAATCTAATTTTCCCTCTAAAATACCCACTAAAATTAAATCCCTCTTTAGTCTTTTTATGTTAAGCATTAGGTTTCAGAATCAGAAGCTTTACTTAAGAACATAAGAAATTTACAAACGAGAGGAGGCAATTCGGCCCATCAAGCTTGTTTCGGGAGAACTTTAACTAATAGCTCAGAGTTGCTGAAATCTTATCTAGCTCTGATTTAAAGGAACGCAGGGTTTTAGCTTGCGCTACACTAACACTGTAACTACATGCTGTGTAAAGTGTTTTCTCAAATTCAGTTTAAAATGTTCTCCCGCTAATTTCCACCTATGGCCACGTGTTCTAGTATTTAAACTAATATCGAAGTAGCCATTTGGCTGAACAGCATCCAGACCTATTAGAATCTAATATACTTGGATCATGTCCCCCAATGCATGGAAATGCTCATCTGATACCATGGGTTTACCCTTCAATCCGGGAGGTTTGGTGCCAAATCAGATATTGATGGATGATCTCCTGCTGCGTTCACTGACGCCTCTGTAATCTCAGACTTTTTCAGTAGCCCAGGAGACTCATGCATTTATAAGTAATATGACGAAAGGGTGGCATGTGCATGAATCATTTTTGACAATATTTTCATGATATTCAGCACTGGATTATTTTCAGCATGCCAAGGTATGACACGATACACCTTCCTTAATTGCATCTTATTGACATCTGTGATGATGAGCACAAGGTGTCCGATCTCCAGAAGTTTGTGTTGTAATGTAAGGTAAATAGTCAAGCCTGCGTTTTAAATCAGCTGCTTTCCTGTAGTTCTTTCAGAAGACCCTTTGCACCTTCTGTTCTTCGATAAGGTGGGAGACATCAGAGTCGACTCCAGAAAAAGGAGGGCAGGTAACTGTGATAAAATCCTTTGAAGTTATTAAGGCAGAGGCTGTGGATCACAGACCTCATTCAGCTTTACTTGCAGTCACTGGCAGTCTGAAATCCCTTTTAGGCACTGGATCAGTTGCTGGCATTAGCTCCTTGTATCATCATTTCTCCATCTTCACTGAATCATTGAACTGGCTTCTGGACCCAGGCTGGCTTTTCCTGTCAACACTATCTTGGGAGCTGACATCTGTACGAGATTCCCGGGCAGCCTCAGCTGAGCCCACACCATCAGGAAGAACGGGACCTCGATTCTGAGGTCCAGATGAATGAATGAAAGTTGCATTTATACTCTTTTCAAGGCACCCAAAGCACTTCACAGAAGAAATGAGGAACCACTTCAGCCACTATCACTGTGTAGCACCCATCTGGATGATACAAGGCAGCAATTCTGCACAAGTATGCTCACTACACACCAGCTAAGGTGGTGAAGGGGTAGAAGAGAATTCACCAATTAGATACAGGGGACGAGTAGGAGGCCAGATTTTGATAAGGCCACAGTGGGCAATGTTAGCCAGGGCATCAGGGTACCACCCCCTACTCTTTCAAAGGAAACCCAGGGATCTTTTATGACCTCAGAGAGTCAGGACCTCAGTTTAATGTCTTATACGAAGGAGGGCGCCATTTTACAGCACAGTGCCCTCATCATGGCACTGGGACATTGGGATCCACACAGACTACAGGATGGACTAACCTGCTGGACAGATCAACACCTCTTCCAGCAGCAACGCAGGGTTCCTAGTTGGTCTCCCTGCTTAGCTTCAGGTGGATTACCTGCTGTGAACTACAGGAGGTATGGCTGCTGACAGATCTCCAAACCCTGCCTCCTGTGATGGAGAGAATGTGCCCAGCCTGCAGAGAAATGGGCGTCCCAGTACCCTCACCTTACCCACAGTTCATGACCAGACATAGACGCGGATTTGCCGTAATGCCAATGACCTCCCTCCCGCTCCACCACCACCGACCCGCACAGCGCTCGTCAAACCACAGCCACCAAACCAACCCGCCCGTCGCTCTCAAATCACTCCCTCTTACTGTCACTTATGAACACGATCCTGAGAAAATTCACTAGGACACTGAAATGATTCTTAGTTCAGGCTCTAGAGAACAGAACCAGCAGTTCAACAGTTTGTAGAAGACTAGAGTGATACCCTAGGGGGGTCTGAACAACTGAGCTTTGGGCAGCTCCACTAATGAATAGAGGCAGTGTTGCTGGTGAGTGAGAGTGTGCGTGTGTGTGTTGGGGGGGGGTAGCTGGCTGCGTCACTGAATGGGTTTACCGGCAATGAACAAAAAGGAAAGAAGGGAAACCATGACAGCCATCAAAAATATAACTAAACAAATGCAATTTTAATGTAAGCTTATTTTGCCCCCCCCCAAAAAAGCAAAGCATGATAAGTCAAAACAAGGTCAAGGAGTCTCAGTACAAATCGTCAGGTTTCTCAATAAATACAAACACTCTCAAATCTTTAGATAAATACCATTAATATTAGTTTTAGAATATTCCAAGCGTTGTTTACATTTATTTTATGGTTTTGACTTTCTGTTAAATAAATCAGAAACGCAATAAGATATCTTGAGCACTTAAGCAAAGTTAATGCTTTAGCCATTATATAAAAATAGAACAATGCAAAATGTACAAAAAAAATTTGTGCACGCACGCACACACACACGGACACACACACACAAGCTGAAAACATAATGTAGTAAACAGAAACATCTGGGCAGTTCTACATATAAAATGACTGGAAAGATTGTCACTGTGATACAGTAGCACTTTGCAGTGTAATATCCAGGATATACAGAAAACACTGAAATGTCATTTTTAATATTTTCAGATGGACTTCCAGGGATTCATTCTGGGGGGAAAAACTTTATTTATCATCTACTGAGGACCAACAGAATTGATCCCATTTTCAATGTTAGGTACTTTTCACACTCTGGTTTTTCAAATTACAGTTTAAACTGTGTAAAATAATCAATAAGATTAGTGCAACCAAGAATGTCAGAAGCCCTCAACTGACAGGGTGCAGCTATACATTTAATCTCCATCAGTCACATCAAATAAGGCACAGTGTCTTTCTCAAAATCCATTCATTGGAAAGAAATGCTTGGCCTCACCTCTTTTCTGTGAATTCACAAATGTAATATTACACTAAAAGCCCATATGTTCATTCATTTTTTCAGCCAATAGTGAATGTGCTGGAAAGAATGTATTGCTGATACCATAATGCCAACAGCCCAGTTGTATAAAGTTGCTTTTGCCATCTTATGGCGCTTCTCAGGACAGGGTACAAACAAGCAGGCGTACCGCAACCACTCAACATCCTGTGAGCTTAATCAGCACCTTCCAGAACTCCAGCACTCACTCACAGTGTTAATAAAGAGCTAATGTCAGCTAAGCATTTTGCCACCCCACTAATGCATAAAACAGGCAAAAACTTACAGCATCTTACTGTACCAAGGATGCTAAAAGGAAGAGTTCAGTTACACTTTCTAGGGATCTCGAGAGGACACTTAAACCAATGTTTCCCAACCCCGGTCCTCGGGAACCCCCACAGAGCTCACAGAAATGTGGACTGTCTGGTACGAAGCTGGGAGCTAGCGAAAACGTGCACCGGCTGGGGATCCGAGGACCGTACTGGGAGTCACTGACTTAAAACGATTAACTGTGGTGCAGCGTTCTGCACAGGTTGATGATATAATAATGATAATGATCTTCCTTTTATTTAATCATCACCTGGGTCCACAATTTTCATGAAAACATGTCTATTTATAACAACACAGTATTTCTAATATAACAAACATTTTTCCCCAGAATTTACAAAGACATTACTCACAAACTCACTAGACACGATTATAAAACATTTCAAGTTCAGTCAGTGCTATTTCCATGGGTCCCTGTACAAGGTTAAAAACACATTCAGAAATGTAATTGCAAGAAAAATACTGCATAATCCAAAAGAATAATCAAATGTGAATGACACTTCTGCTACACCACACCTATGAACTGCTAGACCATGTTTATGAATAGTGGCTTTAGCGGCGCTCCCTGAACATGGCGAAAAAGGCAGCACACTTCAGAAACCCCATTCAAAACACTGTGTAGCAAATCCATGCTGCCATGGAGAGCTGGGCTCAGACGCCATTAAGGTTCACAGTGCTGCGTCACTCAGAGCCTCTTCAGGCTCCTCTGCCGTTGACTGCTGGAGTGGGGCAGTCTCAGCTTTCACTGCATGTTGCGTAGTTGATGGGTCAATGTGGTTCCTTCTAATTTACACACTTTGCAGCAGCGACGCAAGCATTGCTTTTTAAAATTAGTTGACAATTGTCAAATATTTACAGACATATGAACAATTTAAGGATTTCAGTTTCTTCTCCAGGAACATCCATACAGACCAGTTCTGATAATGACCACCAGACAAAAATAGTTGAGCAGTGAATTCTGTGACACTTTACTTAAGGGGGCACAAATAATACAGTATTATACTCTCACAAATGTATTAACCACAAACCAAGTCTTAGTTACATAATGAATGATCTGTTTGTTCATCATTATTGAATCGTGACATCTTTTAGAATAGAAGTTTTATTGTCACTATATTAAATACATGTTAAACCTCTGTGAACTACTGAAGGAACAAGTAACGAATAACAAAAAGTTCAATACTGATTTCATGTTCATATGACATTTTTTATATCAAGTAACGATATTTGTTAACGATTTGTACTTCAGTAGTAACCAAGTCACTACTAAGTATTAGTGCCCCCTCAAAGTAAAGTGTTACCCTGAATTCTTACCGGTCTACTACTGGACTACTTGTAAATGCCCCATGGTGTCACTCACGGCACACACAGGTTAGAGCAGCTACAGACTAGAGATTGTGTAAACAGTAAAGTGAGGACAGCACGTGGTTCGAGACTCATTTGCCCGTGTGCAGTCTTTATAGTACCTGTCTGACAGCTAACAGAATAAACCTGAGAAGATGTGCTTCACAGAGGCCATCTGGATCTTCTGGCTGGTGGCCCCCTCTTCTACCTCAGGTACTGCTCCTCGGACTGGCTGCTTTGGTCCTCCCCTTCTAGGTCGTCCAGCTCAGGGAGGTCCCCCCAAAGCAGTAGGTTCAGTCCTGGAGAAACACCCAAATTATATCGCAAACCTTCAATACATATTAGTTACATGTTTGAACCTGGTGTAATTTATTCTTATATTTGCAATGAGAGGGCGGGGGGGGGTGGTTGGTTTGTAGCTCAGCATGGTAGGATGCTGGTCTTGTGATGGGAAGATCATTCTTGGATCCCTTTAGCAATACCCTTAACCTCCAACAGCTCAATAGACTGACTAACCCTGGTTTCTTTCAAAACAAGCGAGTCACTTTGGATAAAAGTATCTGCTACATTAATGTAAAGTAATCACTAATAAATGTGTCTTTAGAACTAGCAAGACTCACAGGTGGCCAGCAAATATTGTGTCATAGATCAACTCAGGACTTAATGTTAACTGTGTAATGAACTGAACCACAACAGTGATTAAATGAGCACAGTACTGTTGTTTCCCCTTTATCACTGGCCCTAATCTTCTGTTTCTATTGTAATGCAAACCTGTTTCTCTCAAGCCCTCCGGAATGATCACAAAAAGCATAATGACATTGTGCTGGCTGAGGCAAAGCCATCGTAACTGTCAAAACACCAAAGCTTTGTGATCCTGCCCATCAAGATACATGTGCTTTCAGGTACACAAAGAAAAGGTCAAGACAATACAAGTACGAGTTAATAGGACATGCTGGATTAGCACGTCAAGCAGCAAAAGTTTCATTGTTTATTTGCCCGTTTTCCATTTGCACACTGCCTACCACGAATACAGCATATAATCCTATTTGCACTGTCTCTGAATAGTATTTTTAACCATAGCCTTTTATTATTCTATTTAGGTTTAATTTTTAGCCTACTAAGTTACCTTTTATACTTAATTTAACGTAATTTATCTATACTTTGTCTATACTTTTTTGCAGTCTCAGGAGCCAGCCAGATCTTCATTTCACTACAAGTTACACCAGTATAACTGTGCATGTGACATGTGTGGACGTGCACATCTTCTGCAACACAGAGCACTTCTGAACTGATTCCAGATGAGTATCTGCCCACCCTAGATTCACAATGTCTTTGACGTCTTCAGTCAAATACAGCAGGTACAACTATAATCTAGGTGGGAAGGATTTATATAGTTCATATTTTTTTATAATTTGGAGTAACTCATAGAACCAGTTTAATGAATATTTATTTGGAGATTTCACAAACGTTTATGGCCCTAGGAAAGCTACTTATTGCAACCAGACCTCTCCATCTCTGCCTCTGTTCTGTTTATGATGACCAAACTGGACAGAAGGCGTGTGATGCCCGATGCCAAGCAACACCAACACGACCACATACAGCTCCTTCCTAAAAAGTCAGCTGAACTGTTTATCGAACAACGTTTAAAGTAACATCTAAATGGGTCCATATAGTTCTCTCCCTCTGAGAGAAGGGGGAGACGAGGTGTGGATCTGAAAGGCAGGCATCCCTCCTCATGTGTCTGGCCCTAATGCCAAAAATATGCCCCTGCATTTCATTCTAAATTATGTGATTGTTTTCCATCATAGATAAGCATCTAAAAATGTTGGCATGCACCTATAAAAGGATACATTCTCTAAGTAAACAGCCCAAGTGGAAAACAGGATCAAGGCACAGAATTGTTTTACAGAATGGTAGGATTAGGGTTGCCATGTACATATATAAGGATGAATTCTCTTAACAAACAAGCCATGGCTGACAGAATGGCAGAGCGGCAGGGATTCCCCCTGCATCAGGGAAATCCTCACCCGAGGCGTCCAGCCTGTTGATTGGTACGACTGAAATACTGTTGAACATCCAGAAATGACCGTTGTTACAGGAGTGCAGGCAGGGTGTGCACGGCGCCACCACGTGATAGCCGACAACGTTGCCACTGATGCAGAGAGGAGACAGAGGCACAGGGTCAGCAAGCATTCAGGGCACCAGCACACCAGCAAGGGGGGGGAACCAGGGGAGAAAATGAAGGGGACCATCACACTCTCAAATAATCAATCAATCAATCAAACAAACAAACAGACCAATTAATGAATGTAAAAAATGTATGTATGTTTGAATGAATGAATGAATGAATGAATGAATGAACTGAAAGAACAATTGAGAGAACGAATGAATAAATGAAAGGATGCTCGAAATGAACGGTTTCACGTCCCCCCACACCAAAATAGGACATGTTTAAGTCAAAAATACATAACTAGAATATGGTTTCAGCCTCCAGTTTCCCAAATAATACACGAGTGGCTAAAAAAAGCCTTGTAAGCCAATAACAATGCAATCGATACTTGGCTGTCCCGGCAGACTTTATGAGTCAGACATTTAGAGGATATTAAACTATAGCATTTTGCTAGAACCTGAAAAACAAGAACAAACGTAACAATATAGCTGCCTGACAGTTTATGACACTGGTCTAGCTTAACAATCTAGTCACAGATTAATCTTCATTTATTAACATTTTTAAACAATACATTGAATATGTTTACAGGGCCGGCAGTGTGGCTCGAGCAGGTTAATGAGGTCATGCCTCTCAGAGTTTGAATGAATCAATGGCCCAGCACTGTGTATGTGGAGTCTGCATGTTCCCTACGTATTTCTGGTTCCAAAAAATGTGCAATTCAAGTGGACCGGTGTCTGTAAGCTGCCCATGGCGTGAGATTGCGTGTCCTCTGCCCTGGGCACTGGACTTCACTGGGAAAGGCTCCAGGCTCACAGTGACCTTTTGCCAGCTAAGCGGATAGGGAAAAATACATGGATTGAATTATGCAGTGTATTAAAAGATGTGCATTTGGTTTCTGCAGCTGACGTCCGTAGGGTAATGCAATAAGATATTTATTACTTACCACTTCAGACAGGCCACGTCTCTCAGTTTGCATTTACAGGTTTTTGTGGAATAGCAGACTGAGACAAAATCCACTGTTCTGCAGAGTAGGATTGAGACATTGTCACCAGCAAAACAAAATAATGCATTGAACACACTTTTTTCTATCCATGATTTTCACAAAGTACCATATGTATTAATTTCTACACTAATAGCTGCAACAGTGTTCTTGTTAACTAATAAAGAAAATCTGATGTCTAATCTGATCGCGTATTTGCACCTGCTCATAAAATGCATACAAAAATGCACCGTAAAAAAATAAACTAAATTAGTTTCCCTGTAATGGGGTAAATCCTGATATTTAAATACAACAGAAAAATCACACTCTATCTGACGGAAAATTGCCACTGGCTACGTGACCTGTCCGAGTTATCTAATTAATCTAAGTGATCTGATTGATAATTCGGTAGAGACTTACCTGTTAGGCGGTATATCAGTCGAAAAAAGTTCAACCTCTGTATCGGCTAAGAGCACAGCTTTCATCCCCCTCGTACAAAGTACACTATCGCAGTATGTACAATTCAGCTGCGTAACACATTTATTTTTAAAATAAGGTGTAGACATGGCGTTAATTTTTCCCCACCAATTACACCGAAATGCTGATGCAAGCAAGAAAACTTCAGAATACCATAGAAATATTCCTGGACAATTAGGCACCAGCTTTCCAGTAAGGTACCCTTCGCAAATAAGCTAGTTAACGGAAAGACACGTTACTTGGGAAGCGCGCTTATTTGTATGACAGACGTGATTAAATGCCCTATTTTATCTTGAAAGCTACCAGAAAAGACAAAACCTAGTAACCTGCCATTATGCTGGAGATAGAGCTAACTTCTGTGCAGAATATAACTTATAACATTAGCTAGCTAGCAGCACGGGTCGTTTACGGTGCTGTAGAACACCAGGCAGCTGTTGTTAAAGGTCTCTACAAACGCTCATAATGTTTAAAGGACGCTTCTGACAGAGCGGCGAGCTCGTTTCTGTATTTGTTTACACCTTCCTACTTAGAGCCGACAGCGGTGGGCCGGAACTTCCTGAAAGATTTTCAAAATGTGTCATCCTTCCTTTGGATTGGATAGCTGAAAACGTAACCAACCTGCTATTGGATCACATAAATTACTTAGACGAATGTGATTGGCAGATGTTAGAACTGCCAAGGACAGAGAAGCTCGCTATTGGCTGAACTATAACCAGCTTTCGGAATTTAACAAATTGGTAGCGGTTATGGTCTGATCCGTTTTGTTCATTGGTCGCAATATAACATCGCAGGAAAAAATCAATCAAATCACTTTTTATTATAAACGAACACCACTTAAACAACATTTCTAAAGTTATTTGACGACTATATTTATGATTTTAACACTGTAGAATAGTTACTTTAACAAAATTCAAGCAAATAATACTAGGTCCCGCCTCTTTTACCACTGGTAGGCATTTTAATTGGTCGACTTTATGGTAAGCACTAGGAAACGGTCCTTAAAAAAATGCTTATTCTGATTCGTTATCTTTGATGCCATTCTTAATAATATAGCCCAATGAAAAAACTAGAGAAATACTCCGCTTTCTTATCCATGCGAAGGGGCGGGCTTATTCTTTCAGACTTTGGAGAAATGTTCGAAAGTTGGAAGCGATGTGGTTGACGGGAAAAGCCCTTTTCCGAGATTAACAGAACCCAAATGGAACGTAGTATTCGAGGTAAGTTTTAAATAAATGATTCTGTTTTTACTGTGCAGGGGTAGTCTTGATCCATTGCGTTATGCGTACTGTAGGAAAAAAGTCGTATGCTGGGAGTCTTATTTATTAAAACCGTTTGGCGAGAAAGTTTCAAAATGAGCTATATTTAAGCTATTTGCCGATAATTAATGTTATATTTGAAATACTATTTCCAAGGGTCAGCCTTACCTTTCTTCAGGGTTCAGAGTATTGGTGCGCTTTAGTTATGCGCTTTAGCCATTATCTCCTGTGTCGAAAATCTAATGTATGGTCTATGTGAGTGTTGGTTAGAGACCAGCTTTTAAATAAACAGCGATTACGCAAATTCATAGGTAAAAAGCTAGCTCATAGCAATACAAGCAATATAGCTAAACGTGTAACTGAATGGGAATGCTGATGCACGATGTAGTAGTGTGATGCGTACTCTTTATCTACACTTCCAATTGTTCTTGAAGATATTAAGTGTTAATATCACGTACCACTTTAGGTGAACGCGCTACAGTAACGCTCCAGAACATACTGGGCATGTTTAAAGTTATGACAGTATTGGTTGCTTTCTTATGTTAATAGTCAAAACGTATCTATTTGAAGAAACCGCCCAGTAAATTTTCCGTAATTCTAACTTTATTGTTCAGAGGAGGGTGGGGAAAGTACCCCCTTCCTAAAGAAATTCTGACGGTGTGACCACAGGGGTCCAAAATATAACTGCGGTAATCGTTATTCATTTCGCCTTCGGACGAGCATGTGATTTTGATTACAAAGATATTCACACGGTGCAGATCAAAAGTAATGTGTGTACTTGCATCATAAATCCTAATTATGCGCAACTGTCAGCCTCGGGGTTGCGGCGTGTATCCATATCTCTGCATTATCACACAAACCTATCCTTGTCTTCATTTCAGGGGGAAGTCAACCACTGCATGACACGCTGCTCGCCCTGCTATGAATGCTCGCAATAAGAACAAACTTTCTGGATACGACAGTCGGCTTGTTTTTGGTGCATGGGAATGAGCCTGCTATTTTTTTCTTTACTACCGTGATCAGGGACGTTTATATAAATATAAAAAAATCTCACGGAAGAGCACTGCTGGCTGAAGTCTCATAATGCGGACGGCTTGAACATCAACAGGAAACAATAACAAGTACGACGCTGTTTGGGTTTATCGGCAGTTTATTCGCGGACCTCTCGCTTTCTCCGGTCGAATCACCACGATTACGTTTATTTTATTGGCGAATATTGTTACTGCCTCGCCGTTCAATTTAGGCTTCTGAAATCAAATAGAGATGACGTCTCCAGCAAAATTTCGAAAAGACAAGGAAATAATAGCTGAGTATGAAACGCAAGTAAAAGGTAAGTGATGTCTTAGTATCATCTCCTTATGATTTTCACTATGGCTACTTCTCGCATATTTATTAACTACCTGTGCGTGCATGTAAAACAATCAATATATTTGTGTACAAAATATATGCACATGGGGAAACATAAACCTGGATTGATCATATCAGCGCATTTCTTTATTTTAAAGTTGAAGATTATTTAAAGGAAAATGCGGATGTATTGTATTATTTGACATTAAAGAAATCTGACCATTTGTTCTTGGTTAAGCAGATCAGATCAGTGGTTGGTGTGCATGCCAATAGCATGGTCTAGCAATATCGAAAGTCTGTTTAACGGTCGATTCTGCAGATCTTGGGTATATAAAATATTATACATTACAGACTGTCCTGCGTTTTATCAACATACTCTAATTACTTATGTAATTCCTACGCGTATCTGTTAAAATAGCACTGGGCGTTTTCGCCCCCGTTTCGTCCACAGTGCATGCAGCTGTGGTGCAGTTTGCATTGATATTTTTTAACACCCCCCTTATTTGGCGTGGCTGCCCACCGGACGCACACTGATCAGCAAACATGTTGGTCCGAACGGACGCCGGCGGCTCACGTGCGCCGAAAAGCAGTCGCACGAAGCGTTGCCTTGCGCGCCGCCCGAGGACGCGCGCAGTCTTGGGAAGTCCATGCTCCCCTTTTCCGTCGGAAAAGGGCGGGGTGTTTGCTCCTATTAACTGTTCTCGTCTTCCCCCGTCCCTGTCACAAGCTGGGTATTTTAATACGACGTTTTAGATAATAGTGTAGGTAAGGTTAGCTTTGCTGCGTAAACCTGGGTATTTTGGTGGGTGTGGGGGGAGGGGTGGCAAGGCGAGCGGCCAGTATTCCCGTTTCCTCCCCGGGAAACGTTTGCGTTTGAGGAAGCGTTTGTAACAATAACCTCCTTTTTCCTGCGCGCAGATGTGCTCGCGCTGGCTGGCTGCACGTTCCTGCCTGCTTATACGCGAGTCTCCTCTGCACATAAACACCGAGATGCTTTTAAACGACGTTCACACGATAACATAACGTGCCCTAGCCGTGTATGTCCTGAATCTACTGTATATCCAAATCTCGGATACCGGAATGTACCCTTTTTACACTTTCCGTGTTAATCACCTTCAAAAGCAAAGGCACTACAAAAAGCGAATTCGATTTCTGCCTCTTATAGATGCATGATTATTCCGTTTTTTTCCCAATCTCATAACAAAGCAAGCACCACGAAACGGATTGTACATCTTGTACTGTTGCTGAGTAGATTCATGCGGTTTTCCTAAATAAACACACGTTGCCGTTCCTAAGAACCTAACTTGATTTGTACAGATGTGGTCCACAAAGAGCCTGGCGAATGAGGTCAAACGTTTTTAGGTCATTGTCAGATTCTCAGTTTGATTTTAAGTTCTGCCCTTGCGTAGTGTGATATCAATGAAAGCAAAGCCTTGCACCATAAAGGTGATCCAGCATAGAGTTGGCATGACGGTAAAAGGGGAGATTGGGATGGGGCAACACTGGTTGAACATAAGATGTCAGATTGGGTCAATCTGGGTTTGTATGGCAAGGCTTTTCTATTGCTCTGTAGCCTCTCCTGTTGTGTTGGCATGTTCCGAGTCCTTAGTACTGCAGCATAGCTTGAGTTCTGTATGTGTCGCTTAAATGTGCATGTGAGGCCCAGGAGTCACATCCCCCCCCTTGGGGACTCCCTTCATGTCCCTGGCAGCAGAGACCATGTGGGGAGTGCGAGGGGACAAGGAAGTGCGAAAGGAGCGGCGAATGCTGGGCACAGGTTCCAGCATGTTTGAGTAGACGTTTCGCTCCATTCAAAATTCATTGACTTTATTTATCAGTGAGGGGTTGGTGTAGCTGGCTGGGCACATAGAAATGTAATGTTAAATTTATTATTATCCATGATAGATGAGATGGCGAAACAAGTATCTTCAAATATCATAGTTCAGTGGTGCCTCAATTAGACTCCTTTGTGCAGGTCAGGATGCTCTTGGCTTATACCTTGGACTCTCATCTGATTTGCCAAAGCAAACCTAATGTAATATGACATAAGCTATACTGTGCAGCGCCCTAAACATATTTTCTGTGGTATTTTTCTGGCTTAAAGCATGCAAACACACTTCATTGAATTAGTGACATTTTCATGGTGGTGTGTGACAGCTTGCAGAGTAACAGGGATTGTGGAGATTGTGCTGGTGAGATTCGGGTGCAGCCATACTCTGTGTGTGCTGGCAATGAAAGAGCTGAATTGTAATACAATGGTGCGAGTCCTAGCAGCCATTGCTGAGTTCTAGGCTTTTACTGCTCTCTGGATCTTAGCAGGGGATCTCCTTGGTGCTCACAAAAATAAAAACAACACAATGATTCTGTGATTGGGTTTAGAGATATCTGACCATTCAATCGTAATCTGGGTGATCCGAACAGAGTTTTGCATGAGACTTGAATCTGCAGCCTGCGGGCGAAGCTTGTGATATTTCCGAAGAAAGCCCTTGGGAGCTATCAGATATTAACCAAACAATTCTCCAGTAGTTTGTGTCATGTCTCCAGATTCTGACGAGCGACCTGCGGAATTGTATTTCATTGCCATCCTCTTCTGTCAGGGAAAGTGAAGGTTTGCCTTCCCTTGGCTCCACTGCGTATGCAGCGTGTTGCGAGCAGAATGCCGCCTCCCCCAGACATGGAAACCTCCTGTTCACCCCGGACTCATGTTGTCAGATGGAGTCAGCGGCTGCATAGCCAGGGGATGTTTCTGCCTTGATGTAATGATTGTGCATGGCTGTGCATTCCTTGGTCCTCAGTAGCCTGACATGAAAGCCAGTGAAGTGAATATTGTCAAGAAGTTCAGGGATGTGCACACTGATAAGCGGCCAGACATTGCGGTAATATGCTGATATGCTGCGATCAAATGGCAGTCATGATACTTCGGAGTCCGCCTTTTGCCTGAGTGTTCTCTGGAAAAGAAATTGCAGATGTCTGATTGAATTGCAATTCTTGCAAGTATGATGTTTAATACAGGGTATATAATAGTGTGAGATATTGGAGGGGGAACAACATTTGACTGTGCAGTATTTTCTTTGTTGCATTTTGGATAAATTTCTGCTTATGTAAGGTTTGGTAGAACATAGCCCTTGTTGCAGAGAACCTAAAACTTATTATTACATTTACATAAACTGTAAAGGTTCAAAGGTTTATTTTATTGTTGCACACAATGCAGTTATTTTAGTAACTTCCAAAGCCTACATTATCAGAAATGCAAACAAATATATACAATATACAGAAGCATAGAAAACTGAACAGTATATCCAGGTAGTGGAACTGTTAAAGAAATGGGGACAAGCTATGTAAACCATAACACAACTTGCAGGAGTGACAGCTGGCATTTTATCAAAGGTTATTGCACATGTTTGCATATGTCAAAATGAATGGTCATTATCAGTAAATCCTAATAAGGTGGCATTGTAGGAGATTCCCTCCCCCCCCCCCCCAGGCATAGCAGAGATCAGCTTCACAGCAAGTCACACTCTAGGCACAGAAAATTAGAAATGGCCAATGTAAATTAAAGTTTAAAGTGCTGCCTGAAGAACCAGCTTTGCTGTTTTAGAGAAACGGGGAATATCTGTTCTGGGCAGCAGTGAATCTCAGTTAAGTGATAAGAAGGTGAAATGCTGAAACCGCACATTGTTACCTAAAGGGAACCTCTGGTATCAGGTTATGTGTCTAGTGAAACTCGCGAAGTTACTTCAAAAGTGAGTACCGTAGCTGGTTTCGTGCCTCTGAGGGATGGACAACCAAGGTACCTGTTTGCCAGCAAATTGTGGGGTCACAAGCTGTTTGGTTGGAGTGATTCATGCGGTCCTACACTTGAACACACCCAGAGCTTAGCAAGCAGGCAAGATTGTTACAGAATTTTCATGAGCTCATTTCCTAAGACCGTAGCCTTCTCAAACCTGTCACTTTGTTGTTGTGTTTGGTCTGCTTATGTAATTTTCATTAATTTATAACCTCGATGGGGCTCCTGCTCTACCTGACAAACTGGAGGTTGTATCAAGCTTTCCCGTTGTGTGGTTGTATGTTAATGTTTTTCATGAATTTAGCTCTGGAATAGGATCAATAACTTAATGGGAACAGATTCTAGTTGTTTCATATGAATATCTAACACCTAATTGGATTGGTACGAATGGGTCATTTAGCATTGATCGGATATCGACGATAAATCGTAAGTGGCGTAAAATCGAAATCCCTGTAATTATGCGACACGGCTCAAGGCAGCGCCCCCGTGTTCCATCAGCGTAGCTAGCCCTGGTGTTTTTGTTTCACCGGATGAACGGACAGCAGCTGTAAATGGTCTGACGCCTCTTCCCACCTCACCCTCGTTGGTAATGCTGCAAACGTTCATTTCGTCATGGCTGCTCACGTACGCAGGGCTCATCCAGGCCTTTCCACTGTTTCCGGTCAGTAGCTAAAGTCTATTGGGTTATCAAGTGTCCCGTGTGTTTACCTGGATCTCCCATTTCGTCTGTTTTTTTTTTTTTTTTCCTCATGCCGGCGTGCATGTGTCTATACTGTTGAGAGCCTAATTTTAATGATTTGTCGTACTGAGAGGAAGCTAACAATGTCCACATGCCCCAGGCTCCCATTTCCTGGTGGGTCAGCTGGTTTCCTTGGAAGGAACCTTAAGACAGCCACAGTTTATATCCCCCAGCTGCATATTCATTTTAATAGGGGGGGGAAATCATTTTTGCAGTGTCACATCCAGGAGGTTTTTGTTTTTTCCCCACAGGGACATAAATGCTAGCAAGGCCCACAAATGGCTGTGTCCCCATGGTAGTAATGAGCACGCAGCAATTAGCAGGGTCCAGCATTGATCGGGCAGTGCACCACTCAATTTACAACTTAATGACCAGGTGGGATTATCATGCAGTGGAAAATGGCGGCCTTCTCACACGCAAGGGCCAGAAAAATCACTCGGAAAGGATGTTTGCTTTG